CTGAAGAACCCTCCCACCCCCCTCCTCCACCTCCCTGCCCCGCTGCAGCCTCAGCCTGGCAGGGACACGCACACACGTGCACGCACGCGCACACACACACTTACTTGCTGGGGCCTGTGCAGAGATGCATGTGATGGTCCTGCCTCCAATCGGCCTGCCCCCCATCCCCCAATCAGCTCCTTGCCAAGGCAAGCCAGGAAGCGCTGGGAAAGCAGAGCCTGAGCAAAATCCTGCACATTTTCTGATATTTAAAAAAACCCACCCTGACAGAGATGGGAAGACCCAAAAACAGGACATGTCAGGGAAAACCTGGACGTATGGTAACCCTACCCCAACAGACACTGGCCTCTCACATACTGTCATTCTCAGAAGGGATCATCCCAAAACTACAGATCCACATGTGAATTCTCAAAGAAGAATTCACATACAATATGGGGTTATTCAACAGATGGGCAAATGCTTGTAAAAGGTTAGGTAAACAGGGTTTTCTGATATCCGAGCTCAGAAGACACGCAAAAGTACCACCCCACCTCCCAGTTCCACACAAGAATACTAAGGAGGATGCATTGCTTGTCTCATACCTTAAGTGTGCATGCATCTACCCAGTCTCTTCCCAGATAAGATTAAGGAAGCACCCCCACCTCTCACATACTATATTTGCCTGCTGAGACTGTATAAGAAGCATCTGTGGATAAAATGCACGCTTAAAAAAAACCCACAAAACAAAAGTATTAACTTGGGGGGGAACAATTTTTTTTCCCCCCCATAAAGCTTGACCAAATACAAATATTTCAATTATTTTTTTTACATGTAGCTTTGGTGTACAAGACCCATGTTAATTTTAGATTTCCTTTTAAACATTAGAAAGTACAGTAGATCTAGAGATTACAGAAGACTTTCATTCAGTCTCTTCTTCTAAATCAAGACATAGGAGTGTGCAGATAGAAGTGTGTGTTCCTGACAGGTCAGCGTTAGGATACAGCCCCCCGCCTCCCAAAGGACACACTCAGAGAAGCCTTCTTTTACCTGATATCCTCAGATTCTGCTCCATAACAGCTCTCACAGCGATCAGCATCCAAGGAATTTGGATCAAACACTTTCTCCTCTTCTTTTCCTAGCTCTAAAACAAAGTAAGATTTAAACTGGGGAAACAGGTTTACAAATGTTAGTGTTGCCTTATTCTTTTCATTTTATTTCATCCTGGCTATGACCTGAACTGTGCGCCAGCAGTGTCAAGTCTGGTAACAGAATTTAAGTTGACCCCGTACCAAGAACTTCTTTGAACCTTTTATGAGAGTCTTATTTAGGTGTTTTACAAGGCCAGACAAGAAGTACTTCTCATGAGAAGAAAAGTCAGCCAACTATTCCTCATGGACTGACTTAGTAATGAGTTTCCATGTATTTTACTGTGCAATGCTATTCAGCATGTGAACCAACCATGGCTAGACAATCATATACAGGGCCCCATGACCAGGACTGCTCAATCTTTTGCAAGGCTGCTACCAGTGCAGAGAAGGCAAAACAATCTTCCTCTAGTCTGAAAATGGACTCAGCTCAAACTGGAAGGGTGAGAAAAGTGCATGCCAGCAGTCTACAACCTTTGCAACCCTATGGGCAACACTACTTAGTACGTAATATATTCTGGATGACATATATTGCTCTCCTTGTCAACCTTTAATTTTTTAATTTCTACAAACAATATCAGAGGCTCCCACGTGCTCTTTTTGAGCTATGAGTTGAGAATCATTGCTTCAAGGGGCTGTTTGTTGTTTAACCTAATCTGTATCTCTCTTTTATTTTATAACCAGAAAGCATGCATATGGTTAATTTTCTTTGCAGAGTCTATATATCCTTATTTTATTGTGAAATGTCCCTGAACTACAAGCCAGGGTTATCCACAGGGAAGCAGCATTCTGTGGGGAACATGCATAAACTACTGAAGACAACTGGAGAAGTCAGCAGTAACCTCAGATACACAGGCTGTTGGATTGTGAGGTCCTACACAGGCAGTCTGCACACTGGGAGTCTGCCTGAGATGTCAGGATGAGAGACAACATCTAGACACTGCTAAGACCAGGGGTGGACAAAATGGTCAATCCAGTCAGCAGCCAGACTCTATTTCCTGCATGGCTGTAGCTGGTCTCCATGGAGACCCCAAACGCAGCTGCATGTGAAAGCTTTAAGCTGGGGTTGCCATGGGGACCAGCCTCAGCCATGGCGGGGGCAGAGCACAGCAGGGGGCTGCTCCAGAGCTGCTGGGATCTTGCAATGGGGGCAGCTTGCTCTGGAGCCAGGGCAAAGCCACGATTTGTAGCTTCTGTGCTCTGGGCAGGGGTGCGTAAGCAGGGAATCGCAGCTCTGCCCCAGCTCCTTGCAGTGGTGACAGCCTGGTCTGGAGCAAGGTCAGACTGGGAAATGGAGTCCACTGCTGACTGGACTTTGCCTGTCCCTGGCTTAGACCCTACTCACTTAGAAGCACATGGGAGCCAAAGGAAAGCAGATTGCTAGCTATCAGCCAGCTAGCAGAGCTATCACAAACTGAAACAATCCAATCCTCCCTATCCCAAACCAAAAAAAAAATCCAGTCTTCATAAGCATGACAGTCAATGTGAACAAGTTCTGTGCGTTCAGTGACAGGTCAAGAGATTCAGACACTATTCCTCCATTTTGTCATCCCTTTTATCTAATGTAAAATTCTGTTCTCTATCCGCACTGGCCTTTTCTTTACTAATATCCCTGCTATTTCTAATCCTTGTGCAGCTGCACTGAACATATAGAACCCTGGGGGTACATTGATTAGACCTGCTCTGGCAGTTAAATACACAACAGACAAAGCCCTACCAAATGCTGCACCAGCACCGCTATTCTGTGAACTCGGTTTTGCAATAGAAAGTACTTCTGGGGGAAAAAGGACTAGTTTAGAAGAAATCTAGATAGCCTGTGGCTTTCTGGTTGATGCTCTCAGCTGAAACACCTTGAGATGCCAAGACCAACCTAACATATGTTCAAAGGAACCAAGTCACACAGACTCAAAGGACAGAAAAAGAAACAAAACCCCCCAAAAAAACAGTAGGCAGTGAAAGACACCTTTACAGCAGGCTCAGTCACAGTGTTGGGGCTGCTTAGATCTGTAGAGAACACCGATTTATGAAGCTGCATTTGAGATCATGACATTAGAATTCTGTGAACTTGCCACTCAATTGTCTAGAGCAGGCATTAGCAACCTACAGCCCACAGGTCAGATCTGGCCTGGCAAGCAACTGCATCCAACCACCAATGCAATAGTATAAGTGGGCACCAGTGCCAACCTAGAAGGGGCACCTTCAAGTCTCCTCCACTGCACATCTCCCTTTGTCTTACTGCATCAGTTTTTCCACAGTGCAGCCTGCTGCCACCACAGCCCTCCCTCCTTCCTCTCCTGTGTCCTCTTACTACAACTGCCAGTTCTTTCACTGCTGACTGTTTGCAGCAGCCAGTAACAAAGGAATCAGCAGTGAGAGGTAAAGAGTGACAGCGGTGGTAACTATAGTAGAGGGGCGTGAAAGCAAGAGCAGCTCTTGGCACAGCACAGGGAGGGCTGGGATAGCAGCAGGCAGCTTGAAACATTAGCCATGTAGCAAGCCCACCTTCAGAGCCAGTTGCCTTATACTGGCCTGCCGCTCCTTAAAGATTGCTGACCTCCAGACTAAGACGTTTAGATTGAAGTAGTAACTAAAGAATGTTTCAAGTAGTCCTTTTAGAAGGCAACAGAGGCAGACTGGGAATGGCAAGACCAGCAGGGAATCTATCAGAAGAAGGCACCAGAGCTATGCATTACCATGTCTCTCAGCCTCTGGAGTCACGCGACTGCCATCTTTATCCAAACGTTGTTTGAAGAGATTGTGCTCCACATCTAGCTGCTGCTCTCCTGCCACATCCATTGCATCAATGCTCAAATCTGAAACCAGCAAGCAAACAAAGCAGATTAAAAGGTTCTCCATGGTCTACAGAGAAAAAAAAAAACCTAAGAAACTATCAGCCTTTTAATAAGGCCTGGAATGAAAAGTTTATCTGAAGGTTAAGAGGGAACATTGGAGCTGAAAGGGACAATATTCAGAGTTGTCTGATAGTGGCCGAGAGCTTCAAAACGATAAAATTGCATTTCTACATGTCAAACTGCTATACCAGGAATACAGTCCTCAACTGACTCTTGTAAGACTATTTCTCACAAGAAAACATGCTTGTGCTAAGAAACTAAGGCCATTTGTACCAACATCAAATGACCTGATCACCTGGGTTGTGGGGGTGGGGAGTGAAGAGCAGAAGCAGGGCTGGGGGCGTTTTCGGGGAAGTGAGAGGCACTAGCAGGGCTGTGGAGGGGCATGATGTGGCAGTGTCAGGATCTGTCTGCTACTCACTCCTGCAATGTCACTATCTTCCCTGGGGAACACTGCCTTATCTCCTGAGCTGTCCGAGTTAAATATTGCCAGGGAAGAAAATGACTCACTTAGGGTGGCAGGATGGAAGGCAGATCTGCAAAGTTTATAGCACGATATATTATACTTAATTTTTTTTTTTACAATAACCTGTTAGCTACAGACATAAAATATGAAACAGAACATATAAATCTGCTCACATTAGAAAATATGCAATAGAAATTAAAGAGTACAGTATTTAATCGCCTTAGTTTTCCAATTAGTAATCTAAAACAAAACATTTTATTCCTCAGAGAAAATGTGAAGATCCAGTGCACAGTATATCTAATACTAACTAACTAAAATACCTCAGTTATTGGTGATCAAAACAGTTAGAAAGACTTCCTTCATCAAAAATACCACAAACAGATCAATTGATTTGATTCCAACATTTTATAAACCTTGTAATTTAGCTACAAAGTCTAATAAAAAGATTTTTGGACAAATTATTAGAGTGAAAATAAGTGCCACAAGCCATCAGTAGCATAATGAACTTGATTCCACATAACTCAAATATGTAAATTCAGAATTTAAACACTGAAGTCAGGAAATAACAGCTGTCCCTCCTTCAGTGTCTTCTGCAGAAGGTTCTGAAAGAACAATAGAAACATTAAGTGCAATGGGATCAAGCCCTTGTCAGTGGCAAGTACTGAATTCATTTCACTGTCAAAACCAGGCTCTTTCAGCACATGTGGATTTCAAAGTACTTTTGACAAGTGGCTAAATAGCATTTTCTCCATTGTACCACCTGGAAAAATGAGATGAAGCACAAAGATCAAAGTCACTATTGAGTAAGTGGCAGTACCAAGGAGTCCTGACTATTTTTATGTTTTCATCCTAAACATAGCAAAATCCTTTCTTTTAGTGCTCAAAGGACAAGCAGCCAACTTGGACTGGGAACATTAATGGTTAGGGTATCTGGCCTCCTGCAGAGAATAATAACTGCCTTGCTCTCAATTATGAAAAGAATTTACTCACAAGCACAAGGCATGTGTGGAAAGATAACATCTATATTGATCTTCAGTTTGTCTCCTCTTGATTTGTCAACATATAATTCAGGATGAACCTAAGAACAAAGAAAAGTAAAGTTTCATTACACTTGGAAATGCACTGCAATATGTTTTCTCTTGTTTCCTCTCCAGGCCAGGAGCCTCAATCATTTCCAGAGTCCTCCCTGACATGCAAAAGATTAGGAGATGTCCAAGCTGGTGCTTTTCAGAACACAGCAATAGCACAGCTGGGGTACCTTTCAATCCTAGTTGAACTTTTACCGTCCCCAATGCTTCTAGCAAGCAAAGCAGCAATTTATTAAACTTTAAAATATTTTAAATTGCTTTTAATTTTCTAAAGTTACCATTTACTTCTTTATTTCCATAGGGAGCCTGCAGGAAGACAGGTGGGCTCTCTCCTACTTTTGATGCAGGCAAGTGATCTGCTTGTACAAGAAGCTAGAAGACCAGCAGCCTAATTCAGGGGTTGGCAACCTACAGTCTGCAGGCTGCATCCAGTCTGGGAAAGTCCAACATGGCCCAGAGCAGCACAGGGGATCAGGCAGCGTACAGCTGCACCATGCATCTATCTTCTCTGCACCACCCTTCTCCGCAGTCTGAGTTTACCATTACTGTAGATGGGTTGGGTATCTGCAGGAAGGGTAAGTGCAGACAGCTTGAGCTCTGGGGGAATTGAGGAGTGGTGGAAAAATGAGGCCTGCAGCAAGTCACAAGCTCTGGCCCACAATGGCAAAAGTCTGCCAATGCCTGGCCTACTTTGCTTCTTTCTCCAGAAGAGGGACCCAGTCCCTAGCTCAGGCTGACAGGTGCAAAAAGCCCAATTTGAGGCATGGGAAGACAGTGATCAGGAGAAAGAGGCTGCCAGTACTTCAGTGTCTCTCTTCTTTGAGGGAGGAAATTCACTCTCCTATCATCACATGGGCTGTATGCAGATTTAGTCCCATTCCAAAACACAGTAAAATAAAACATTAGCAGAAATCAACAACCTATTTCTTTCTCTGGATCAAATCAGATCTAGACCAAAGACTGCAAAAAGCAGTGAACCTCTAATTTTGTATGAGAGAAACTTACATTAAATTCTAGTTCACTGGAGCAACAAAGCAATATCCAACTTAACAGCAATACATCATGGACAGGATGTCTTCTGAACTGCCTGGAATCCATTCAATATGTTAGCATCCAAAGGAAAGGAAAGAAAGGTAGCAAGGGAATAACCCATGGCTTACAAGACTCAAAAGCCTGGCTCAGGCATGGAGAAAGATCAGTCCTGGGTTCAGCCTTAATTTTGTATTTAGTCTCCAAAAGTAGGACAGTGCACGGAAGCCACATGCCCAAAGAGGCAGTAATACCCAGTTCTACTTACTTCCTTAGTGAGGTAGTATTGCAGCTCTGAAAAGAACAGCACCAGCATGATAAGCCCACTGATTACTGTCACTGCAAATTGAAAATAAAAACATTAGCAGGGGCTGTGGTGGATAAGTCTCAGTATTAAGAACAAACATATTACAGGCGGTGCAGAAAGCACTTATGCAGCACGTAAAGACAGCATGACCTCTGGCTCATTTTGCTTGACACTTCCCATTGTTAGACCATACCTTCAGTTGCTTTAAACTTTGACTTCAACCATTTGAACTGAAATTTTCCATGCCTCATGAGTATGCCAGACTTTTCTTTTCTTTCTTTTAATTTTAGCCAAGAACTCAGTTCTTTGCTAGAACATGACAAAAGAACACAGGTGTTTCACTGACAAGCTCCAGGGCTTCCATGCTATGGAGCAAACTTTGAATTTAGAGTAGATTGCCCTGGGATCACACAGGTGACTTCTGGTACCCCTCTGCGACTGCTTCATATCTGCAGATTTCCTATGTACTGGGCATACTTCAATCCCCAACTGTTTTTGTTCCCTACCCAGACTGCACGTGTGAACCCCATGAAACAACCAAGCTGGCTTCCTCAGAAGCCCTGGGGCTGGCTTCAGCTGGGGCTGGGCTGTGCCAATGCAAGTGCTGGGATTTAAAACACCCAGAGGTTCCTGGCCAGAAGGTCTTTCTAGAAGGTGCTGGCCAGGCAAATCGTCATGCGTGGGACCAGGAAGACGTTTTATCCCTGGACGACGGGGGGTTTGTTTTCTTCTGCGGCAGGCCGCCAGGACTAGCCCTCTTTCTCTGACTTCCCCGGGTATTTTAACTGCTACCTCCCATCCTTGCTCGCACGTGGGGCGCGAGCGAGACCGCCCTTCCTGCTGTGCCCCGAAAGCAGAGCGGCTCCCTCGCCCGCCCCTCCGGATCCAGGCCGC